GATACTCCAGTAAGGCGGACCTAGAGCAACTTTAAAAAGTAAATTTTTCTTAAGTGTTGAATCGAAACGTTAATTTACTGTAAACTAAGTAAGACGGCCATGTTTACGCATGAAGTTAATAAAACATTTCAGTACCATCCTTTCGATTTTCTGGTCAACAATGCCGCGGTGCCTTCGCCGCCTCCGCCCTCGACGCCACTGGAACCGGAAATTGACGAATAGAGTTCTGCTTTCTAGCCAAAAATAGACAATTTTGGCATGTACCGAGTCAACTGCCGTGGTCAGGTAAAATCATCGCAGAAATTGTGGTCCGAGAGATGGTGCGGCAAAGCTCCAGGGAGCCGTCGTGAACGTGTCCAGCCAGTCGAAATTCGCCCGCTGCACGATCGCGTTGGATACTGTAATCTTTGCCCAGATATCCAAGATCGGTTTCACAAACCAGTTCGGCGGCGCTGGATGTTGCTCAGTGCCAGGCACGAGGATAAGTGAACATGGAATTCGGGTGAACGCCCCGACCGTCATCATGCTAGAGGAAAGGGTGAGCTTCATCTTTTCATTTCACTGCATCAATTCAAACGATTTTTAAGCTATGGTCCAACCCTGAGAAAGGCGAAGTGGATGCGCGATCAACTGCCGCTCAAAAAGTTTAGTATCACTTTAAAAGTGGCTGTTCGCAACCTTTTTTAAATAGATTGAACTGATTTTCTGGTTTTTCTCTAAAGCCTTATAATCATTTTTTCAGCCGGAAAAGACGTGATCAACGCCATCCTGTTCCTACTCTCCGATGCGTCCGCCCTCACGACCGGACCTAGCATTCCCAGTCGATGCCGGATATTCAACAAGTTAACTATAAAATCTGCGATAAATACCTTAAAGGGGCTCAGGAGTCAAAATTCACGCGTGCGGGGATTGAACCTACGGGTCAAAAAGCAGAAACGGTCACTGCGGAGAAGTACCAAAGCGTTCGTTGGTTGCGAAAAACGTAAAATGTTTGAAAAACCGGAGTTCTTTTTGGGGCAAAACGACATTTTGAGTGCGCGGCGATTCACGTGTCGTAATGCCTTGTAATGCCCAATCTCTCGATGTCGATGATTCTCTTGTCAATTTTCGCCAATTTAAAGGCTCGAATGATCAAAATTCGTTCGGAGAGATTCAAAAATAAGTATCCGTTTCTAAATTCGTCGTTTTCGCGTCAAACAGAGACAAAAAATCATGCGGCACGGTCGCATCCAGCAAGTTACCGGGACTCACAGCAGGGCCGTGGACCAGATTTGGAGCCTTTAAATCAGTGCACGAAGACCCCATCCGGTACACCGGAAGTTTAAAAAGGATTTAAGCATCTCTCGAGTCAACTTGCATTGTAATCGCTTTCATTTCGACTAGCGCACATCATCAACAAACGATTTCCCAGATTCCTATTGCCAATAAAACTCTTTTGTTTCCAAATATAACTAACGAAATATGCTGTTTCAAAAAATACCGTCGAGTTTGTTGCCGTTTCTGACAACAAAATGGATCGTTTCGGAGAGCTCGTTTTTGCACATGTGCCCACCCACCCAACAATGCCCCGGAGACAAAGTGGATGTCCGAACAAGCTGCCCAATGAGCGCGATCTGCTTGCACAGGCCGGCCAGCTACAAAGCGGACACGGATGCTACATGTTCCCGGTCCCGGAACGGATGTGACGAGCAGGCACGAGCAGTTAAGAGCAGTTGTTGTGCAGTTAAGGCGAAGCGCGACGAGGACTTTGGTGTACATGGCTGAAATATAAAAATTGGTAAACCAAAACGATTTTGCTTGCCAGATGTGAAGTTGTTTTGCTTGGCGATGGTTGCTGATTTCTACGGCCGCGCGTCTGCTTATATATTGCGGATCCGTTCCGGGACCGGGAACATGTAGCATCCGTGTCCGCTTTGTAGCTGGCCGGCCTGTGCAAGCAGATCGCGCTCATTGGGCAGCTTGTTCGGACATCCACTTTGTCTCCGGGGCATTGTTGGGTGGGTGGGCACATGTGCAAAAACGAGCTCTCCGAAACGATCCATTTTGTTGTCAGAAACGGCAACAAACTCGACGGTATTTTTTGAAACAGCATATTTCGTTAGTTATATTTGGAAACAAAAGAGTTTTATTGGCAATAGAAATCTAGAAAATCGTTTGTTGATGACGTGCGCTAGTCGAAATGAAAGCGATTTCAAATGCAATGTTGATCCGAGAGATGCTTTAAATCCTTTTAAACTTTCCGGTGTACCGGATGGGGTCTTTTCGTGCACAGATTTAAAGGGGCTCCAAATCTGGTCCACGGCCCCTGCTGTGATTCCTGGCAAATTGCCAGATGCGACCGCGCCGCATGATTTTTTGCCTCTGTTTGGACGCGAAAACGATTGAATTTAAAAATTCTGATACTATTTTTGGAATCTTCAACGAATTTTGATCATTCGAGCCTTTTAAATTATGAAAATTGACAAGAGAATCATCGACATCGAGAGATTGGGTGCATTACAAGGCATTACGACACGTAATCGCCGCGCACTCAAAATGTCGTTTTGCCCCAAAAAGAATTCGGTTTTTCTCAAACATTTTACGTTTTTTCGCAACCAACGAACGTTTTTGGCACTTCTCCGCAGTGACCGTTTCGTTTTTTTGACCCGTAGGTTCAATCCCCGCACGCACGAATTTTGACTTCTGAGCCCCTTTAAGGTATTTATCGCAGATTTTATAAAGTTAATTTGTTGAATATCCGGCATCGACTGGGAATGCCAGTCCGGTCGTGAGGGCGGACGCATCGGAGAGTAGGAACAGGATGGCGTTGATCACGTCTTTTCCGGCTGAAAAAATGATTATAAGGCTTTAGAGAAAAGCAGAAAATCAGTTAAATCTATTTAAAAAGGTTGCGAAATAGCCAATTTTTAAAGTGATACCTGCAAACTTCTTGAGCGGCAGTTGATCGCGCATCCACTTCGCCTTCTCAGGGTTGGACCATAGCTGAAAAAGCGTTTGAAATAATGCAGTAAAATGAAGAGATGAAGTCTACCCCGAGTCCTTCCTCCAGCACGATGACGGTCGGGTTGACGGCGTTCACCCGAATTCCATGTTCACCCCATTCTCGTGCCTGGCACCTGGTCGCCATATCCAAGGCCGCCTTGGAACTGCCTAGAAATCGATCTTTGATATCTGGGCAAAGATTACAGTATCCAACGCGATCGTGCAGCGGGCGAATGCCTGACTGGCTCGACACGTTCACGACGGCTCCCTGGATCTTGGCCGCAATCATCTCTCGGACAACAATTTCTGCGATAATGATGGGACCACGGCAGTTGACTCGGTACATGCTAAAAATTGTCTATTTTTTGCTAGAAATTTAGAACTGACTCGTCAATTTCCTGTTCAGTGGCATCGAGGGCGGAGGCGGCGAAGGCGATCGCGGCATTGTTGACCAGAAAATCGAAAGGATGGTACTGAAATATTTTATTAACTTCCTGCGCAGCCATAGCCGTCTTACTTAGCTTACAGTAAATTAACGTTTCGATTCAACACTTAAGAAAAATTTACCTCTTTTAAAGTTGCCTCTAGCTCCGCCTTACTGGAGGTCACGTCTCCAACCACCGCCGTGATCCCCGAATGCTAAATAAATGCATGCAATTTTCTTAGATACCTCCTTTTTTGCACTTTCCCAGACAACAGGAAAAAATAGCGCACAGAGCAGAAGATAAAATACCCTAACTGCCAACTCCTTCAGCTGCTCCTCCCGCCTCGCCAAAGCATAGACTTTAGCGCCAAGGCCGGCCAGCGTAACACAGAGTTCTTTCCCAAGTCCTAAACATTACGAGTTCTATATCGACCAACAACCTTCTGGCTTAAAAAAGTCAAAATTATATTTACAAACATTACTTGAGAATTTCATGCTAACATTACTTACCTTGGCTCGCACCCGTCACTAGCACTTTCTTGCCGGAAAAATCGAATTTGCAGCTCATTTTTGGTTAGTTTGGTGAACACAAGTGGGGGGAGGCGACTAAATAAGCGTCGACTTATCAGAAGGAAAAAATGGGGCCACTGGGTGACTCACCAATCGGCTTACGAGGCACAACGATCACGTGTCGACCAAAAATAGCCAGTTTCTCCGAAGTTTTGGCTTATCGAAGGTAGGTGACCAAGCGGTGAGAATGGCTGATTTCCGAAGCCTTACTGTAAAGTGTTTTTACCCAGGCTGGCGTTTTAGTATGGGACCAAGCCTATCTTGTTCAGAATTTTCTGCTGATTTCGAATCCGTTTCCCAAATTTGCTGCGGACTTCGCGTTGAAAAGTAATTTTTGGTCTAAATTAAGCTTAAAAACGGCATAAATTCGGATGCTGGCCCACTATTCCCTGCCTGGGCCTAGGTATTGTTGTGCCCCTTATCTACCCTCCCGAAGCCAGCTTCCGAGTTGGCACCATGGTGCATTGGTAAGCTGGTCGCTTGCCAAGCACAGGACGGCGGTTCCAACCCCCGCCGTGCAGAAATTCTTTTGCTTTTTGCACAAAAACGAATGATTTTTGCATAAAATCGCGCTTTGACCTCTAAGACTGTTACCGAGCCAGTTTTAACGTCGGAGGTGATGACAACTTAAAAAATAACGCAAAAAGTCCAGATTTAGTCAATTTTTTTTATTATAAACGTCCAATAACTTTTTAAATAAAGGTCGGCAGCAAATTTGGAAATCAGATTCAAAATCAGCGAAAAATTCTGCACAAGATAGGCTTGGTCCCATTCTAAAAAGCCAGCCTGAGTAAAAACACTTTACAGTTGGTGAGCGATAAATACAAGAAGGAAATGAAAATTATAGTAGCGTAATATTAAATTAAATTGTAATAATATTTACTGGTGTATATTTGTCGTAACTACTTGCAATCTGCTGTTGTCAAGCGACCAAAATTGGTTTTTATAAGTTTTATTCCCTATCCTGCATAAGTAATCCTAGCATATGTACAAGTTGATACGTTCGAGTACAGCTTTCGCCTTATTTTCCGTAGCTCGAGCAGGTGGCGCAGCACTGGGTGGCCATCAGAGTGGCATAAGTTGGGCTCGAGCACAGGTAGCTAAAAGGTGAATGATTGGAACAAGTTTTTTTAGCTTCTTACCTCAAGGAAGAACAGTCCGAGACTCCAGTGTAGGCGTTGACCTGGTCGACGCATGCTAAAGATCGTTTAAGATTCATAAACTGGCATGAGCTTACTAGTTGATGAGGACGAGGTAGTAGCGCAGAATCCGCACGTCTTCCTGCACTGGACGGCCATCACCGAATAGTAGGTGGAGTCGGCGCAGAGGTAGGCGCGCTTGGGGCAGTCCGAGACTCCGGTGACCGGGTTCAGGAGATCGACGCAATAGGCTGAAATCTACGGTATCTGGAGAGATTTCGAACTTACTTGTGGTGGCAGTTGTTGTAGATGTAGTCGTGGTAACAGCAACGATTCCAGATCCAGGACAACATTGTCCCACTCCATCGATTTGGGTTCCGACGCAAGCCGTATCGGTCGAGGCTGGGCAAGCTCCAGCGTTACAAGCTGAAAATGACGATTTTAAGGTTGCTGTGTCAGATACTAAGCTCCAAATTGCCTCTCGGTAATGGTAAAGCATGACTTACGTCCAATAGCCCCTCCAGAGCATGTGAACGACGTGGCCGTGCCGTCAATAAGATTTGCACCCGCGCAGCATCCATTAGCCGTGCAGACTGTGCCCTGAGTGGTACTGACGCCGACGCAGCTGACGTTGGCAAAGCATGCTAAAAGGAGGTTAGAAAGTTCTAAAAAAATAACTAAAGGCCAGGTATAAGAGGACGTAAGGAGAAAACTTACGTCCCAGCGATGAAGTGCAATTGAGAGCTGTAGTGGAACCGAAGAGGGCGAAGATGAAGAAGAGGGTGGAAGTCGAATACTTGCCGGAGTACATGTTAGTTGATGCTAAAGACTTAGGAGGCTGAGTCAAATGGGTTCAACTTACCTTTTGAGATTGGAGCTAAAAGCGGATCGAGTAGATGGTTTGAAGTCGATGTTGATTCCCAAGCCTCGTGTCCACATTTTATAGTGAACATCCCGGAACAGCACGTAGACAATGGAACATGAGTTGGGCATTGTAAATCGGGGGGCGCCTGCCCAAATAGGTCATCATTTTGTGTAGCGGGATATTTTGCCGATGGCTTTTTCTGGCCGCCCCGCATTCGGCTACACATTTGCACACAGACAATTGGTCAGCAAGACAAACAGCAGGGCCGAGATTGGGATCGCGTTCTGGAACAAGTGGATGGTCTGTTTTGGAATTGGTCTAGTCTGGCTAGCTGAAACAAAAGCAAACGCTTAGCTAGAAAGCGGAAGTTTGTGCTGTAGCAAAGCGCATGTTTGGGTCTTAAAAATGCGCTTTTGTGATAACACAACATTTTTGAAGTTTACTCTGGCACGCAGGACCAAGAAATGACCGTATTTTCTTGTAAAGCAAGTTTTCAATAACCGCGCGGTCAGCTTGTTACACTACGATACCATGTGCAAGTGTTCCAGAAAACGTTTTCCTTAAAATGTCGAGTATAGAGTAAAGAAAATGACATTTATTCTACAGGTTACCTTTACTACATGTAAGAGCCAAGCCTAAATCCATGATAAATACACTGTAAATACAAAAATGATGCGATCGTCTTTGTTTAGCCACGGCCGCCGCAAGTGGCGCAGCACTGCTGTTGCATAAGTGTACGGTAAGTGGCGTCGTTGCAGAGGGAACTGCAAAAGGTAGCGGTTTTAATTCGACGCCACCTCATTGGGAAAGGTATCTTTAACCTACCGTCTAGCCGGGCAGTCCGAAGTGCCGGTGGCCGGGTTGATAGCGTCGACGCATGCTGAAAGAACTGTTTGATGGTGCCAGAGGTGACTTACTGAAATCACGAAAGTATTGTTGGAGCTCCCACAGAAACCGCACGTCTTCGGGCATTGAACCCGCATAACCTCAGATAGGTGGCGTCGGTTTAGAAGTGCGGAGCGCATCGGACAGTCCGAGACACCCGTAGCAGGGTTCAGCAGGTCGCGACAGGTGGTTCCTACAAATGTGGAAGGTTTGAATTGTTATACCTGGCTTATCACTTGAAATAAGGAAAAACGATGGGCTCACCTTTGGTAACGGTTTTCCTGGTGGTCGTTGTGACTGCAGCAACACCCGTAGGATCGCAACACGAAGCGTCGGCTCCAGTACCAATGCAAGCTTCGCCGTCAGTCAGGCATCCACCATTGAGACACGCTAAAGGTAATACTTTGTAACTAATTTTCGGGAAATTTCCAATCAACACCATTTGAGGAGTAATTAAAAGAAACTGACGTCCGTTCTTAGAGTTCTCGGCACAGACTAGTTCCTGAACCACGTTAGTCGCCGCACAGCAGCCTGTGGTCGTGCAGACTTGGCCTGTCTTAAAGCACCCTCCATCGATGCAGGCTGTAATTTTATAACTATAGGATTGAACAAAATAATCTTGTTACAACTTTAGCATCTATCCTGTATGCCTAAGTGTATGAACGAAATACTTACGCCCCGTCGACTTTTCGGCCGTACAGTCGAACAGTGCTGAGGTCGAAGCGAACATCGCCATAAAGACTGTGATCTTCGTTGGGAATTGCATGTCTTGCGTTATTGAGGATGTGAAAAAGCTTTTGATGTGAAGCTGGGAGAAGATCAGATGCTGGGTAATTGTAGGAACCCATGCTCGGCTTATATAGGCTTGAAACAAGGAAGCTCCTCAAAAATGGCTTCCGAACAAAGGTGTGAACGCAGCGGATAATGTCGGCGATCCCCTAACGGATACAGGCGTGAAACGGCTGCGCATACATTGGTCCGGAATGCGATATTATTCATTTTTTGTGTCTGGATGCACTTTTCCTCTGTGCTTCGCCCTTTGCCTTTCGATCGCGATAAAAATGACATATCATTGGTTATTTAAAGTTATCCCCTAGCTTACGGAAGTTGCATGCAAATGTGCCTAAACACAAAAGCATAGTTTTTTCTTATACATTTGAACAAACGGAACCAAGCCGGGGGGCAGGCAAAAGCTAGGGTGAGGTGTGTCCTTGGGAAGGAGGTAAAGAACTCTTTCCCCGATCTACCGGGTGGATCTGCCAGAGCCGTTGGCGCTTCGTTGGGTTTTCTATCCTGAGTGCTGCAGCTGCCACAAATCCAGAGATGTGAACATTTGTAACTCCGTATTGTAACTCCGAACTGAAGCGCAATTTTCATTGAGAAAACAAAGGACCAACAAATAAGCGATGAATAGCTGTCTCGAAAGCAACCTTTCAAAGAGAGGCGAAAAAACGAAATTCTGCCTTCTCGCCCTTTGTATGCGCAGCCGTTTCACGCCTGTATCCGTTAGGGGATCGCCGACATTATCCGCTGCGTTCACACCTTTGTTCGGAAGCCATTTTTGAGGAGCTTCCTTGTTTCAAGCCTATATAAGCCGAGCATGGGTTCCTACAATCACCCAGCATTTGATCTTCTCCCAGCTTCACATCAAAAGCTTTTTCACATCCTCAATAACGCAAGACATGCAATTCCCAACGAAGATCACAGTCTTTATGGCGATGTTCGCTTCGACCTCAGCACTGTTCGACTGTACGGCCGAAAAGTCGACGGGGCGTAAGTATTTCGTTCATACACTTAGGCATACAGGATAGATGCTAAAGTTGTAACAAGATTATTTTGTTCAATCCTATAGTTATAAAATTACAGCCTGCATCGATGGAGGGTGCTTTAAGACAGGCCAAGTCTGCACGACCACAGGCTGCTGTGCGGCGACTAACGTGGTTCAGGAACTAGTCTGTGCCGAGAACTCTAAGAACGGACGTCAGTTTCTTTTAATTACTCCTCAAATGGTGTTGATTGAAATCTTCCGAAAATTAGTTACAAAGTATTACCTTTAGCGTGTCTCAATGGTGGATGCCTGACTGACGGCGAAGCTTGCATTGGTACTGGAGCCGACGCTTCGTGTTGCGATCCTACGGGTGTTGCTGCAGTCACAACGACCACCAGGAAAACCGTTACCAAAGGTGAGCTCATCGTTTCTTCCTCTATGTCCAGAGATAAGGCAGGTATAACAATTCAAACCTTCCACATTTGTAGGTACCACCTGTCGCGACCTGCTGAACCCTGCTACGGGTGTCTCGGATTGTCCGATGCGTTCTGCACTCTGTACCGACGCCATCTATCTTGAGGTCATGCGCGTTCAGTGCCCGAAGACGTGCGGTTTTTGTGGGAGCTCCAACAATACTTTCGTGATTTCCAGTAAGTCATCTCCATCACTGTCACAAAACTTGCTTTCAGCCTGCGTCGACGCGATCAACCCGGCCACCGGCACTTCGGACTGCCCGGCTAGACGGTAGGTTAAAGATACCTTTCCGAATGAGGTGGAGTCTAAACCGCTACCTTTTCAGTTCCCTCTGCAACGACGCCACTTACCGTACACTTATGCAACAGCAGTGCTGCGCCACCTGCGGCGGCCGTGGCTAAACAGGAAAGGATCCATTGCTACTCTTGTATTTACCGTGTACCTATCATAGATTTATGTTCGCTTCTTACATGTAGTAACCAATAGACCAATAAAAAATACCTTTTTATTTGATGCGCATGAGACATCAGAAGAAATTGCTACATGGAAAGTTTTTACAAGATGTCGTACCGTATGAAACGCACCTCCCGTTTTCCCACTTAAAAGCTATGCAATTTAAAAACCATGCAATGCCTAAAAAAGTGGACTGCAGCCGGAACAAAAACAAAACTGAAATGTGTTAGGTATAAAACAGGTAAAACTGATAAAAAAGAGTTAATTTGCGTAGCGACTTCACAAGCAGCTCCCAGCACTATTTTTTCTGGAATAGCGCAATCAGGACAGAAACTTTCTAGGCCCGACAAAAACTTAAGAGAACCATACCCAAAAACACTAAATCTGGACAGGTTTTACTTCACCCCCCAGCCAGAACTTCCGAAAAGTTTTTGCGTTATCGAATGGCCGAGCAAAATTCGCGACAAAATAGCGGATACTTGAAAATGTTTGGCACCTCCAGCATAGGAAAAAGTAAACTTGAGCCATAGATCTCCGTGCCATGCCAGTTTTTTTAGGGTATTATGTGTCTGCCTAATTTTGAATCAATCGCGGATCCACTTCTATTACACAGAACATTTTATTTACGCGATATATACAGAGAGAACAAAAGATTCGTTAAATACTTTCTAGTTTTAGTGAAAAATCTTAGGAGAAAGGCGTAAAATCTTAGGGTTTTGTGATCAACTCTCAGAAAATTGTATGCATAGAATTTTCACAGTAGGTGTAGCCGATTGGACGCCGCTTATTTTCCGATGCCGCTGCAGGTGGCACAGCACTGCTGCTTCATCAGCGTCTTGTAGTTGGGGTTATTGCAGTAGGACCTGAATTTGAATTGGTAATGGATCAAAAACTGTGTTCGAAAAACTCGATAAACAATTTACCGTCTAGCCGGGCAGTCCGAGATTCCGGTCCTCGGGTTGAGCAGATCGACGCAACCTAAATTTTTTGAAAATTATTCCAAAAGCGTTTCGATTTCCAAAGGTTTTGCAACCTGGACATTGCAAGGTTAACGCATTTCCAGTGTTGCAGAATCCACGATCCTCAGGCACTGCACACGCATTAAAGGAAGGTAGGTGGCGTCGGTGCACAAGTAAGACCTCGACGAACGGTCGGACACTGGTCGCTGGGTTTAGTGCGACGCAGGTGTCTGAAAGTTGGAAACAACTCCCAACACTTCCGAAATTTTGGGACACATAGCTTTCGCTAAGAACCTACCTTCGATGATCCGCTTCGTCGTCGCCCTCGATCGTGGTGGTCGTCGGTGTCGTGACAAACTCTGCGATACCTCCGGCGCTGGCCCGACTCCTGCACCCAATTACCACGACCTATGCAGGCGTCCCCAGCCGTCACGCAAAGGGGTCGCAGGCTGTAATGGCAAGTTTTTCGCTGGAATTTACGTTTGAATTGGTAAGCATCAGTAAACACTCGTCCAGTTTTCGAGAATTCATCGCAGATAAGGTCTTGGATGACGCTCGCCTCCGGGACAACATCCATCCCGTGCATACCAGGCCTGTCCAGACGGCCTCCAGCCGTGCACGCTGAAAGTGGGATTTAGGAGGGCTTGTCATAACCAGCGGTAGGTCGGGGCTCTATGCCAGAATACCCACACCGGTTCCGATCTTCCCCATGTTGGGGCTGTTACCACTCTTTCTAGTTAGGAACCTAATCCTAACCTTAACTGGCTCCGCGCCATAGGTTGTTCTATACGATGTCCCAGATACGAACTATGACTAAGGATACTATTTTGTAACGTTGACCTCTTTTGACTAGAGGACTCTTGAGAAGGTCTTAGTGTATAAAGTGTATTTGTTACCCCACGGACTTATTACGAGGGGTTTATTCGAGTAGCCCAAGCTGTCATATAAAAACTGGGGACGGGATAGAGGCCGAGAAGGAAGTCGGCCAGCGCGGATACAGACCCTAACAAATATGAAGTTCTTAGAATTTATAAAAGCATCCAAGGGGACGGAATCACCGTCGGCCCGAGGGCCTCGGTCTCCCGTGGGGGCTTCGAGTTAGCTTAGCAGGAGGGACAGGGAAGGGGGTCGGGGAAGGGGGAATCAGGTCTCAGGCTCGACCCCGACTGATTTCAAGGAATCGAGGGATGACCCGCTTGGGGGCCAGGGCAGATAACGCCGCAGGCTTTTCATTAAATATATACTACAACCATTAAGAGTATCTACTACATGTCCCTGGCCCAACTAAAGTTGCGTCCTGCTTTTTTAAGCCTAGAGGGGTGAGGAGTAAGATAACAAACAGATGAGGATCAAGAGGTAAAAAACGAAAATGGTAATCCAGATGGTGTGAGAGGCTACCCAGTCCAATGGTTTGAGAATTAGACGGTAGATAGACACGGATCTGGATCCGACCTCCTTTTTCCTACCAAACCGTGCACATAACTGAGGCGGAGCCGGCTGCGGTTTTGGACGTACGCCAGGTACGGTGCGCTACGTAAGTGCTCAGTGGGAGTGTTTCAAAGCGGTGTCAATCTTGGCCAGTCAATTTGTCATCAGTAATGAAGTAAGGGCCCTGTGTGTACCGATTAAGGCAACGAGTAAGAGTAAGAGTATAGAAGGGAAAGTAGGGACAACAATGTGTGTACAGCAGTAGGGATTTGATAGGGGCGTTGCTGAATCATAGGTGGGGATGTTTCGGGAGGTGGCTTTTTTACTGTGGCGAAAGAATGGCTCATCATGGGGTGCGGCAGGAGAACATGGCTCATCTGGTTGTCCGGAGTACGCCGTCAGGAAGAGTCGTGTAGGTTTAATCTGTCATGCTAAGAGGATCTGCAAAATGAGAATTGCCAGTTTGTATTTCCTCTAGCTGGTCTGTAGAGGTTTATTATTTCGCATAATTTAGGAAAATTTGGTTGGATTTAGTTTGAAAAATGATGTGTGTTGATTGTTATATTGTGGGTTGAATTGGTATGTTAGATGTTGAAGCTGTTGTATTATTTATTGTTGTTGTTTGTTAGATACTGCTGATGTGCCGGGTAGTGGTTGTGGTAACTGTTG